AAATTGATTGATATTAAATCTCTCAAAATATTAAATCTCCCTCATTTGATGAAGACTCCCTAAATTAAGGGATTATGATTTAAATTTATCCACATCTAATTAGATTAGATAATTTTAATGAAAATAGAAAGTCAACTTGAATAGATGACATCCTAATCCGATTAGGATAAATTTTAATTAAGATAAATTTACTAATAAATTAGGACTTCTAATAGTGATTAGAACTCTACAATTAGTGAATGGATAATACAAGATTAAAAGGTGGATTAGGACCTTCCCAAAATATTTAGGACACATGATTTGGATCATGAATCCTTTTAAAATGGTTTATGATAGATACTCAAACTAGGAAGTTTCCTAAATTGGTTTAGGTTTCTAATTAAAGAAGTTTAATTAGAAAGAACTTACTAATAGAATTAATTCAAATATGATTTGAGCAAGCTACAGGCCTTGATATGATCAATTCCTTTACTAAATAATTTAAAAAAAATTATTTTTTTTAAAAATTACTAAATCTTTTAGTACCTAAGCACCAAATGATTTGAACTATCATCCTCAAAGGTTGAGGGACATTTTTTAAATGAAATGCAAGATCATCATCATATTGAGCATGTTTACTTTATATGTTTATAGCTAGATTGTAGATGTTTGTTGATGGTTATGGACTATAGACCCAATATGATTGTGGATGTTTGGTTAAATTGCTATTTATGGAAATATTTTCAAATAGGGTGCGAGCCTTACCTTATCTCTTACATTTAGGGTAAAATTCTCTTCTTATCTAACTCTCCTTGAATGTAACTCGAGATTTTTACATTTATTTGTAATTAGAAATAGGATTAGATTAGGAAAGAAATCTTATAAATCTGAAGATAGAGATCAAAGGTGCCATGAAGAGCTGAAGGTGGATGTAAGCTAAGGCATGAAGTGCTTAATGTATGTTATCTCCTAAGATTTGACCAACTAGTTTCCTTTTATGGCTTAAGGAAACTAGAGTAGAAAAGTCCATAACTATCTTAGTAGCATAGCATGTGATAGATTTAATTTTATACAATATATTAAATGCTATGCATGCTAATCAAATGAGACCCTAATAAACAAAAGGATAAAATCCCTCGGTAAATATTGAGTCATATATCACGTATGATTAAGTTGCTTTCCACCACATAGCAAGATAACCTGGCTGCTCTTTTAATCGGAGGTTTGTTGAGCACACTCAATGCCACACTTTTACATGAATATGTTTTAGCTATTGGCGGGGTCTTACTCAACTAATTTCATAAATCCGGATTCTTGGAAACTTGATTATTATGAAAACTAGTGGCAAAGGCTAGACGAAACATGTATGATATGTTTAGGCAATGTGTTGTCAGTTTGCTGATCTAAGAGTTGTATAAAGATACAATTGGTAAGCTCAGTTACCTACCTAATCTACCTATCTTAGTTTGTTGAGCACACTCAAGGCCATGACTAGATGGATGGGATCCTA